AAGACGACACAATGAAGCCTCTCATCACCAAACTTATGCATCAGATACCAGGTGCCATCGCACCAGCGGACCAAAGCAAGGAACAGCCGTCTGACCCCATGGGAGGTAGATGTTAGCCCGGGCTTTGCCGTCAAAGTGACGTGATGATAATCCTCGTCCCGGCCGTGCTCACCATCCACCGGCTTGGGTGTGGTGGTTGCTTCCTCACCTACTGAATGATTTCCAGTCATCATGTCAGGTTCGACAGGAAGAGGACGGAAGTAATAGGCGCTGATGTACGCATTGCCGACACCATTGTACATCTTCACGGTCGGGTAGTAACCAAACCAATGCCCAAAGGTGCCTCCGTGGACACCAACGGTGAGATAACGGAAGTCCTCATCGTTGACGTTGTACTCTTTCGTCTTGGCGTAAACCGTCACGTCGGTGGCGACGCTGTCATATTCGTCCAATTTGAAGTCACCCGAGTAAACCCCAAACTTGGTAGTCTTCCGGGTATCAAAGAAGTCACCCGGCATAATATCAGTAATATCGCCAACGGCACTCGGCATGAAGTCCGCGGCCTCGCTATGGACACCACCCATACCGTGGTGGAATAGGTAATGAAGCATTTGAAAGAAATCCTCATGATCGCCGTTGTCAGTCGGTGGCTGTGGAGGCTTCGTTGGCAAGATGCTCTCTTCAGACGGCTTGTGGTCATCGGCAGCTGCCTGCCAAAGGACGATGGAAAAGAGGGCAGAGCGGATCATAGGAGGAAAGGCTGAGAATACCGGCTACACTGCTTCGCTATTATTGCGTGATGCTATAGTTAGGTGAACAAGGAAGTAGGCCTATCATGGGAGCAACTTTGCATAGATCCAGCTGTCACAAGCCTTAACATCGCATAAGCAAATTGCTGGATGCCTATCCAGGTCAATCACTCGCCCCGGTCGTTTCGGATACTCTCGTGTCAGTTTTCAGCGGAATCTTAGGGACGGCTCCGCAGCGTGAGGAATTGTAATACATCGCTGAATCTCATACTCGATTTATTCAACTCCAGACGAATGTCCGTGAGACGAGATTTGAATTCCTTACACCCGTTTCCAACGCGCTCTTTGCCACGGACCGGAATTACTTCATTCCAGGAGACTGAGAGCTGACTCGGATCTTTGCAGGTGAGGAGCGAGGAGAGGGAGAAATTTCCTGACTCCCTGGTTTGAAGGAAACACGAGTTGCGGTCATCATCTTAATGAGCGCGGTCTTTATACACGGATCTTTGACGAGGCATAGAGTGCTGCACCATCATGGAAGTTTATTGGATGGCGAGAGGAGGGTTGGTTGATATTTGTTGCCAAATGTTCGCTCGCTTCGCATTGGGAACCCCTCGGTAACCCTCGTGTTCCATAATGTGACTGCAAGTCCAGCTGCTGCTCAATAATTAGTCCTTAGCATGTCTCTCGGCATCGTGCTCGTTCCTCTGAAGATATATACATACAGCTTAAACGAACGATAACAGT